TGCCATTGTGACTGGCATATAGCTGATCTAAAGCATTAGAATCATGCTTTATCATGACTTTTATGAATTCAAAACTGGACACCAGAGGATGGATGGATGGATGGATGGATGGATGGATGGATGGATGGATGGATAAATAAATAAATAAATAAATAAATAAATAAATAAGCAAGCAAGCAAGCAAGCAAGCAAGCAAGCAAGCAAGCAAGCAAGCAAGCAAGACCTTTGTTTTTGGTTAGTATTAGAATTTACAAAGTAAAATAAAATGTTATAACATTTGAAATGCTCCAGAAATTTTTTTGAATAATGGGATCAGATATTAGTTGCTACAATGTCAACAATGATATCTGTTTCTATGGCTAGACTATGTCCAAAAGATGTTAATGAAGGAATGATAGATGTGAATGAATATTCTGAAAGATTTACAACATAAAGAACTGAAACAAAATTAAATGACATAGAAATATTAGAATCAGAAATAGTGGAAAATAAAAAAGCATGGAATATAATATAATTAAATTAGAAACAAGCAAAAGAATCATTTGGATAAGCATTATCCAATGGACATACAAAAGAAGCTAGTTAAAGCCTTGAAAGTTAAATGGGAAATACAAATGATAAATTAAGGGAATGACCCAGATAATGACTCTTTATTAGATTTACAAAGGTGGTTTACTAAATCATTGAAAAAAGCATTTGGGATGGGAAAAATTGAAGTGAGATCAGAGCCTGCAAGAACATTTGAGTGAATTAAGTTCAAGATTATTAGAAGTAAAAGGAAGGAATATAAAGTTGGTTGGTTTGACCAAAGTTTTAAAAAAAAGATGTGTTTTTATAAAGCTCTGGTAACCTTTTACGAACTTTTTGCTGATACCAAATCTTTATTATTTCTTTCTATTTCTCTTAGTTTAGTTTGTACTTGTTTTTATTATTATAATCAACATTGTAAATTATTTTAAAAATAAATTATATTAAATTAAAACTAAGCTGCTATACTATATTTAAGTGTAGTTATAGAACAATCATCATTGCCAATGAGACATAATATACCACCACAAAGGATTTGTGTTCAACTGCTTTATGCCCCAAGGGTCCTACAGTTTTCTGATAAGGGATGTCAGTGGTTTCAAGCTCAAATTAAATATAACAGAACATAAAGGACAATCCTAGCAAGTTCCACAAAATGTCTTGAAAGTGAGGGAATAATTCCAGTTACAATCATGTTGTCTGAGAGTTTCCACATATCTGCTGTCTTCAATGAATAGGTAACTCTCTACGGATTCATACACACACACAAACATACAAGCAAACAAATACAGAGAGTATGTATTTACTTATGCCTGTATTAATGGTGTGTTGTATTTTTAAAATTCTGTGACTTGGTCTTGGATCATAAATAAACAAACAGTTAAGTTCAACAAATTCAACAAAACCACCCTGCCAAATCCAGTAATAATTTAATATTGTCTGAAGCTTGTTGCACTTTTATTAAACTAAATAGCCCAGAATGGACAATTAAAAGGCCATTTTGGCTGTGGTCCACATACTGAGGTTGCTATCAAAATTTTGGAATCAAATATTAACAAGAAAATTGGCCAAAAGGAATCCACAACCTCCAAAACCATTGTTTTAGAAGCCTCATTAAAGTTACAAAAATGTGACTCAAAAATGAACCGTTATAAACTTCCAATAGTATAGAATTCAAAAATTCTTGTATGTTTCATGCCAATTAATAGGGTAATGATCATACTAGCAGCTTTTTCTCTTTTCATAAATAGTATCTATTCTAACCCAAAGTGACAAAGATGCAGTTAAATAAAAGGCTTAGCCTTGTATAATCTTCAAAAGAGCTACTTTGTTAAAAAAATATCAATTTCTTCCCGAGTAACCTTTGATTCAACATTAAATAGTTATACTTGACAGAAAAATAGTCTATATTTGGAATTATTTTATACTTTGTTCTAACTATCGTTAAGATTAAAAATATTCTTCATTGTTACCGTTTCAGTTTAGGGGCAAATAATTTATCATTCTTTACCCCTGTTCCCAATATCTTTGTTCTATGCAATTCAATGAATATTCAGTATATCATACACATAGAAGAGATTAAGTTCTAATTTAGGAGACAGAAAAGATTTATGTAGATCTGGTGTAGGTTTCATTGCATACATAATTGCTTAATTTTATTTTCCAAATATCCTTGTTTAGTTTTTTTTTCCCATGAAGCATATGAAAAAAATACAACCTTTAATAATAATGCATTAAAAGCAGCCCAGACTGTTATTTTTTTTTTTAAAAAAAACTATTTGAATATTGCTTTTACCTACTCTATCAAAAAAAAAAAAAGGAAGAAAAAGAAAAAAGGAAGAAAGGAAAAGAAAAGAAGAAAGGAAGGGAAGAGAAGAGAAGAGAAAAGAAAAAAGAGAAGAAAAGAGAAGAAAAGAAAAGAAAAAAAAAGAAAAAAAAGAAAAGAACCACAATTCTTTTTAAGCAACATCTTAGGGAAAAAGAACATTTTTTTCTTTATAATAATTGATAGTGTTATTGAAGCGTGACCAGAAAATGCATTTTGAAGTCAAAAAGATATGCACTCAAGTAAACTGCAGAAGTGCAGATTAAGAGAGATAATTATATTGCTTTTGAAGCAGGAAAGATCAGTGCATTTAAGAAGAGGGTCATTTGTGTTCCCGTGACATGGGTTAATTTGAACAACATATGCTTTGCTTCTGTTGGTACCTTTCTGCAAGATGCTCAGCACACAATCCATGGAATTAGAGCTGCTGGGATAAGAGAATATTCAATGAACTGACTGCAAAATAGATTTTGGTTAGCTATCCAAAGATACTTTATAATTCTGTGCACAAAATGAACAATATCAATGTTGTGCAAGGCAGTTGCTGAGTTTTTCTTGCTGAGATAGAACAAACTCATTGCATAGTAGATACCCTCCCCAACATTTCTAATTGGATCTGGAGGCTGACAGAGAAACAAAATTAGCAAGTTAATCTTATATAAAAGAAGAGAAGAAGAAGATTAACATTAACTAGGGACATTAAGCAAGGTAGTAATTATCTAAATGCACAGTAACAGACATGGAGTTGTATTTAATGCTGCTTGTCAAGAGTGGAAATCATTAGGAGAATAGCTTTTTCTTTTAAAACGTGCTCCAGAGTATTGGAATGACCTCCAGAAGTAATTTGGAAGACCTCTAGGAAATATAAGGCACAATAGATTAAGTGATATTGGATGAGGTTCACTGTACTTTTTTAAAGGAGGCTATCTCATTTCCTAATTTTGGCCCCAATAGATATTGGTGGGATCTTGAATTGTTTCATGGTCCTCACTGAACAGACTCCAATTCTATTTAATTTAAATTAGGAAATGTAGGAAACAGTATGATTTTCATTACCTGCATTTTGTTATTTAATATTAGTAGTGAATCAGTGAGAGACTCAGATAGATAGATAGATAGATAGATAGATAGATAGATAGATAGATAGATAGATAGATAGATAAAGATAGCTAGATAGCTAGACGATAGATAGATAGATAGATAGATAGATAGATAGATAGATAGATAGATAGACAGACAGATAGACGGATGGATGGTAGATAGATGGATGGATGATAGGTAGGTAGGTAGATAAATAGATATAGATATGCATGCATGCATACATACATACATACATACATACATATACATACACATATATATGTGTCTATATGTATATGTGTGTATACTGCATATATTCTGTATATATACATACATATGTATATGTGTATACACACACACCCCTCTGAATGTAAAGCACAGGGAGAAAGCCTTCACATATATGTGTATGGTATAAGGTGAATGGTACCCTTCATATTTATAGCTGTACTTAGAAGATGGCATTTTCCTTGTACATGTTAGTGTTGTACTTGTAGATATACTCATAGAAGGTATTACAACGAACATATAACATCTAATGGGAGCTACATCATGCCCAATTCTTAGTTTCAGATTTGGGGATATAAACTACCTTAATACAATCCTTGGTTTTATTGCTTGAATTGCATCACAAAATAAGGGGTTAGAAGAATAACAGAAACCCATATTCAGATATATCATGTGCAGATTTTGCAGAGAAAAACTGTTAGACAATTGAATTCAACAATGACATATGGTTGGTAATGGTTCTATTTGGTCTCTGCCTATCTGGTTTTCCATATCTTTTGATTACCTGGACATTTATTTATTGTTAACCATTTATTAATTCATTTAATACCGTTCTAATGAAAACATTTGTTTGAAATTGCCATACTATGCTTGGCTATACTTTTTCACTGGATCCAAGTATTATTACTGTTTTTATCTGAGTAAAATCCCAAGAATATCTAAATAGCCTTGGAATACCATTGGCATAACCTGAAATTATCGTAAATGGACCTTCTTCTTTTTATTAAATGCAACACAATATTTTTTGCAACGAAGAGATGGCTGGATGTTGATAGTTATTGTTAGGTATACTTGGTACATATTAATACGTTTGATTCAGTATGTACGATTTCAGGAATGGCCGTTAATATTTACTTCATATTTGAGGAATTGATACCATAGCAATAAACAATCTTTTGCTCTCACTTTGTCTGAACTGAAAAACATGGGCCCAAGCAAAATATTTTTTGACAGACTTTAAGAATAAAAAAGCTGATTAAGCTATACACTGCATTTCATACTGAAACAATTACTACTTTCCAGTTGTGGCTGAAACAGTTACAGCCATGGAATTAATGGATTAAGTGATTCTTGTGCTTTATTTACCACTTTATCAATCACTACCATCATCATAATCTTCACCTAACTACAGGAAAAACAACATCAGCAACTTTATGTATAGCTGAAGCACTTACCAATCATTTTTGTCCAAACATTTTTCCCCCATATCCAGAAGGTGGTTTCAACACTCCTTTGTATTTTAAAATGTAATGGTTTTATAAATTACTTGATTTTCACCTACCTTTTCAGCTGCTTGGGAAGTGCAAAAAAATATTGGAATGAAGGCAAGCCATACTATACATGTAGTGTACATAGTGAATCCAATGGGTTTGGCTTCATTAAAATTCTCTGGGACACCCCGAGTCTTGATGGCATAAACAGTGCATGTAACCATTAGGAGAATGCTATACCCCAAAGAGCATATTATTTGTAGATCCGTAATGTCACATTTGAGAACGCCTCTGGCTTGATCTGGTTCCATAGATTTATGTTCATCATAATCTATAATACTGTTTGGTGGATCAACAGCAAACCAAATGAAAACTCCAAGAAGTTGTACTGATATCAAACTTGATGTGATTGCTAATTGTGATGTTGGGCTAATAAGCCTGGGTGCTGTCACTGATTTTTTGCCCTGTTCAAATATGCGATAGATACGGTTTGTTTTAGTCAACAGAGCAGCATAACTTATGCACATTCCCAATCCCAGGAAGATACGCCGGAAAGAACACACGGCAACATCTGGCTTGGCAATCATCAAGAAAGTGATGATATAACACAGAAATATTCCTGTCAATAAAACATAGCTAAGTTCCCTTCCAGAAGCCCTCACAATGGGAGTATCATTGTACCGAATGAAGGTTGCCATGACGAATATGGTGGCAATAATTCCAAGCATGGCCAGAAAGACTGGGATGACCGCCCAGGGTGAATGCCACTCCAACTTTACAATAGGGATAGGGCTACATCCGGTGCGATTCTCATTTGGTCGTTGATTGTAGGAGCACAGCTTGCAGCTCACTTCGTCAAACTGGTATTGGTAACCATCACACAGTTCACACTGCCAGCAGCAGCTCATCCCTTTCATAATCCTTTTTCGTTCTCCTGGTTTACAGGGAAGACTGCAGACTGAAGAAGGGGTTTTCTTCACTCCTTTGCCCCACTGCATTTCATCCATCTAAGAGTAAAAGAACATAGAATAAATGAGACTGCTTATCCGGAAGTGACTATCAAGTAGGCCTAGTGCCATGATGGTGAACCTATGGCACGCGTGCCAGAGGGGGCACACAGAGCCCTCTCTGCTGGCATGTGTGCCGTCGCCCCAGGTCAGACCACCATGGCGTTTCTTTCATGAGTTTCTGTTTCCCTGCAAATGACGAAACAGAAGCTCACGAAAGAAAAAGATCTTACCTCTTGCCGCGCTGCCAATGTTGGGATGTCCCGCCTCCCACCAGACAGCTGGTCTTCGGATCTTTCCTGAGCATGCACGCATGTCTGCACATGTGCATGTTCGTGCATGTCTGTGCATGTGTGTGTTCATGCATGTCCACACATGCCCACATCTGTACGTGCATACACCTTTCAGTTTGGACATGCGCACACACACACAGTTTGAGCACTCGGTGTCTAAAAGGTTCCGCCATCATTGGCTTAGTGGATTGATGAGTTGATTAACAAAGACATGAATATATTGGAGTAAAAAAGAGATGGTAGCAGCGAGGAAGAAAATGAGAACTGTTGCTGAGGGAATAAGAAATAGAAATAAAAACTCAATGAAGAAGCAAATACTAAAGGAAATAAAGGTTATTACCGTAGGGAAATAGCATGAAAATAGTTTCGATGGAAACCCACATAATTGGAACAATGCATTTTCTCCTATTAGCATAGCATTCTTTGCATTATTATAGTATTCTTCCCTTGTGACCACGGAGCAAACACTCAAATAGCCGGCATAATCTTTTAGAACAGGAAAAGTTCATTTTGTAGAATTTGCTTGAAGTGTGGCTATAGTTTAATGAACAGTGAAGCCTGAATAACCATGGCTCTTAAAGCTTTCTTGAAAAAGGCCTTTATCATTTCTTTCCAAATCCTGAATTAATTCTTTTCTGACACTGATGTGTCTACTCCCCATCCCTTTTCTAAGCAGCCTCAAGTCACCTACGTGTGAGGTGGATCATTTGTTTAATAAATAATTAAAATTGGAAGCATGTTTTGATGTATGCATGTACAGTGATCTAAGTTCACATTGACTTTCAGGAATCCTGACCCACGTTGTGTCCCCCCTACCACCACACACACACACACACACACACTGGAAAGATGTGAATGATAGAAACATGGCTGAATCTCCCTATCCCTTATCTATATTAAACATACTATTTCAACATGGCTATTTCAAGCAAGCCTGTCAAGGATTTTGATTTTATTTTTAAACAAAGATCTCCAATTAGAATAGCTGCTACCTGTACTAGTCCCAGGCAGAGTGGAAACTGATCCAAATCTTTAATCTTTTTTTTTTCCTGAAGTGCCCTACTATATGTTAAATAATGAGTTCCACTGAGTTTCATTTACCAATGCTACAAATTTACATTGAGTGACATTGAAAAGATGATTGATAGACATCCAAATTTCCTTGGAACTCACAATGGACTGAACATTCTGTTTCAGAATAAGGATTTATTTGTCTTTGTACGTGCAGACTTTTTTTTCTAAGTCACATTATAATACAGTCTGGCTGTACTAACAGAGACAATGACTAGAACAAAAATTGCTTTGTTCTTTTCTACATAAATTGGCCGTGTATAAGTTTCAAAAGAACAAGATATTATTCACTGTGGGCAAAATGAAACCTAGTGAATTGAAGTTGTATGTCACATTCCAAGGCAATAGTGGAAAAATACTCAGAGGGATACCTCTAAAAGTTATTTTTAAAGATTCTTGCACTATATGCTACGTACTGTGAATAGACTAGAGTGGAAGGGACCTTGGAGGTCTTCTAGTCCAACCACCTGCTCAAGCAGGAGATTCTATACCATTTCAGAAAAGTGGATGTCCAGTCTCTTCTTAAAACCTCCAGTGATGAAGCACCCACAACTTCTGAAGGCAAGTTGTTTCACTGGTTAATTGTTCTCACTGTTAGGAAGTTTCTCCTTGGTTCTAGGTTGCTTCTCTCCTTAATTACTTTCAATCCATCATTTCTTGTCTTGCCTTCTGGTGCTTTGTAAAATAAGTTGACTCTCTCTTCTTCATGGAAGCTCCTCCAATACTGGATTGCTGCTATTTTATTAATTGTGTCTGCCTTATTAATACTGCTATTTATTAGGTCTGGCACAAGAGGCATACTCTGGGTTCCATGTACTAAAGAATGTGACTTCACATTTCTGTCACAGGTGAATATTGTATTGTGACCTACTGATACCTGTTTCATAATTCTTCAAATTTTGGAGTTCTAAATAAATAGATGAGTGAGATCTCTCAAACATATCTTGTCACTAGAAGATACATTCTAGAATTAATTTTGTTACTATATATTCATAGTTGAAGAATTTGGGTTTACCTTTGCTACCAATAGGCCCTGGTGCTCTATTCAATCAGATTATGTGAAGCAGCAACAAGGAGATGGATGGATGGATGACTGGATAGATAGCCTCACTACTACATACATTACAGTCTATATAGGTTGCAAATCAGTGGTGGGTTGCTACCGGTTCTCCCCGGTTCGGGCAAGCCAGTAGTAGCGATGGTGAGCTGAGAGCCAACTGGTTCACTCCAACTCTCAACTGGGCCCCTCCCACCAGCCCCTGCGCTAATCCTACCTATATTGGTTCGTTTTTAGCCCAGCTGATAGACGCAGCAGAGCAAATTGCCGTGCCTCAGCTGTTCTGAAATGGAATGTGTTTGTGCAAGGCGCAAATTCAGCGTGTAAGTGAGCAAAGCAAGCATGCGCGCACAACTAGCGTGCAAAGTGTGTGCACAAAGTGAACCAGTGGTAACACAGGTTGAAACCCACCACTGTTGCAAATAAAGAAATCTGGCTTTCAGTATAGACAGATTTAATATTTAGTACTTTTTCTTCCAATATTTTCTGAGTAAAATCTTTGTGGAACATATCATTTCTGGCAGGCCCATCCCCACCCCCCTATTTTTAATGCGGTATATCTTCAAAAGATGAACTATTGAGTATGGAGAAGAGAAAGAACCTGACATGTGAGTGGCACAATTTTATTTACAATCTCATGTAATATTAGATGACTGCACAATCTCGAAAAAGTTGGCAACAGTCATGTCATTTTATTTTTCTTGGATACATGTGAGCAGGAGGTTAGAATAAATTAGCATGTAAATTCGCTAAAAAGAAAACTAGCAGATTCTTCCAATTCTTTAGCTGTTTAATACGTGAAAATAAAAGCCATTTCTTTTGTACTGAACATAGTCAGGGTGGCTTGTTGTTTTGACACTGACAATGGTCATTCCAATCATGAGGTCTGTTATGTGAGATTGGCAGCATTACCTGCCAATAAGCAGGCTGCTGCAATCTGCATCATTTGCAGTGTCTGTATGGTCTTCCAAGGCAGCCCCATGTAAAGATAATTGCAGCATACAAGCGTTTCTTAAAGTGTGCTCCTAGGAACTCAAGACCCACTCAAGGGGCCTGGTGGCTCAGCAGACTAAAAGCATTGTGATTAACACCAGCTGTCTGCAATTACTATAAGTTTGAATCTCACCAGGCTCAAGGTTGACTCAGCCTTCCATCCTTTCTAAGGTAGATAAAATGAGGACCCGGATTGTGGGGGCAATAAGCTGACTTTGTATAAATATACAAAAGTATGAAGGCTATTGCTTAACGCATTGTAAGCTGCCCTTCTCTCCGGAGAAGGGCGGCATATAAATCAAATTAAAAAAAAAAAGGGTCCTCAAAATAAAAATTACTTGCCAACCTGTTGAAAAGTAATACAATATTAATAATCTCATCAAATAATCATGAGAAGTGGGAGCAGCGAATGCATCAATTTTAATTTTTAATATAGTAACTATCGATAAATATAACCCATACAAATAATAACTCTTTTGGGAACATTTAAATGTGGGAAGGGGTTCTAAGAGAAAAAAAAGTTTGAGAAAGGCTGCAATCAGCACTTGCAACCATCAGTCAGAATAGAACAGAACAGAACCACAGAATGGGAAAGGACCTTAGAGGTCTTCTAGTCGAACCCCCTGACTCAGGCAGGAAATCCTATAACATTTCAGACAAATGGTTGTCCAATCTCTCCTTAGGTCCAGTCCAGGATACATTTTCTTCTGACAGTCTAGAATTTTCTTTTTAAAATAAGGTAATGAAAATCCATGTCATCTCTATAATACGAATGTGTGATATTTTCCTTAGGTAAAAGCTCTAAGGAACATCATATACAGGTGGTCCTCGACTTACAACTGTAATTGACCCCTAAATTTCTGCTGTTAAGTGAGCCATTTGTTAATGCACCATTTTATGACCTTTTTTGCCACAGTTGTTAAGTGAATCACTGCAGCTGATAAGTTAGTAACCTGGTTGTTAAGTGAATCTGGCTTCCTCCGCTGACCTTGCTTGTCAGAAGGTTGCAAAAGGGTCATCATATGACCTTGGGACATAGCAACGGTCATAACTATGGACCAGTTGCCAAGCATCAGAATTTTGATCACATGATTCTGGGGATGCTTCAAAGGTCATAACTGTGAAAAATGGTCATAAGTCATTTCTTTCAGTGCTGTTGTAACTTTGAACCGTCTCTAAATGACCTGTTGTAAGTCGAGGATTAGTTGTAGTATATCTCATCTTATACAAAGTCATTCCTGCAAAGCTTCGTTAAGATAACATTAAGATAAAAATCAGTAAAACGTTTATTATATATTAATTAACACACTATGGCCGAAACATTTCTCCTCATGCAGCTCCAGTTGTTCTCTTTAGTTATTTAGTTATTTATTAGCAACTAATCTGAGTTTAACACAGTGGTGAAATTAAATTTTTTTACTACTGGTTCTGTGGGTGTGGCTTGGTGGGCAAGGCAAGGGAAGGCTATTGCAAAATCTCCATTCCCACCCCAGTCCAGGGGAAGGATATTGCAAAATCCCCATTCCCTCCCCATTTCTGCAGGAAGGATATTGCAAAATCTCCATTCCCACCCCACTCTGGGGCCA